AAATAAGGCCTTTCACTCTTCCCGACGCCTATCAGAGATGTACGGTGTATGTTGTTTTGTGCATGTGTTGTGGACAAAAAATGACCACGCCCATTTAGTGATTGCAATATGTACGTAATAGAAACCGCACCCCGAACTTGAGCTTTTGATCCCAATTTTTAAATTGATACATTGTAATATAAACCGCGGTTTATAATAGGACTTTAACGGTAAATGCAGCACTTCTTTTTTTCAATGAGACATTTGTTTTTATACTAAAATATCTGAATTACTTTGAAGAAAGCTGGAAATTATGTCCCTTAAAATAATTAAACAAATAAGGCACCAATGTTTTTGAAAGATATTTACATCTTTTAAGGACATTCGGTAGACTGATTCCCCACTGTTGGTTCAACCCCAAAACTTGTTTGTATTCAAAATTAATTATGACAATGCATATTTATATTGAAACAAACTATGATGAAGGGAATTATATTATATAACAAAGGGCAAGGTCACCAGAGTTCAACTATGTTGTAATGATATCTTTAATTCTCTAACTTTGGTGAATATTTTTGTCATTTTTAGTAAAAAGTGATATTTTCGACTTCTTGTTAAAAACCGCAAGTCTGATTGCTTTGATATTACATATATAAATACTACATGTGGACCGCTCTCAGATTTGTTCATTTGATGATTATATCTTCAATTGTCTAATTTTAATGAATATTTTTGTAATTTTTGGTAAAAAGTGATATTTTTGAATTCTTGTTGAAAACAAGTCCAATTGCTATACATACTATACAAATTGTTCATTTTCTAATGATATCTTCAGTTCTTTAATTGAAATGTGCATTGCTAACAGCGGAGCTATCTCAGCCGACAGGCTGCTTGTTTTGAAGAAAAAGTAAATTCCATATTAAAGCGACAATACCTGTAACTATAGGTCTTTTATTTTTCCAATTTGTAATAGCCATCACTGAAATAGGATTTAGCATTGAAAACATAGTATATACATGTATTCTATATACTGATGTTGTACATTTAATCACTTGCATGTGAAAAAGGATGGTCGTGAGGTTGCATGTGTCTAGATCTCCAGAGAATCCAGTTTTATCCAGTAAACCTCTGGGGGAAACGGCAAATTCGTCCCTTTCTATAGAGGCTAAGCCCCTTTCTTATGGTCTCCCACTGATAGTTTTGTGAGTCATTTTCTACATTCCCCATTACGTGACCGATTTCAACGCACTGGTGTCTAGTCTACCCTTAGTTTTCGCGTGACTTTAACCTTGTGTAGAGTTACTTTTGCTCATGCAATATTGTGTCTAAAACCATAATTTCACTAAGATTTGACCATCATTATGTAATTTTATATAAACAAAAAAATTTTCAATATCACAGCTATTTAATGATTTACTAGTATCAATACTACATTTTTTTTATCCAATCTGATACCATTATATATATATAAAAAGTGTTGTCACAGTAGAGGGAGTGAAGTGTTGTCACAGTGGAGGGAGTGAAGTGTTGTCACAGTGGAGGGAGTGAAGTGTTGTCACAGTGGAGGGAGTGAATATAAAGATATTAAGGAGAGGGATATGGCAAAGTGAACCTAATTCCCATTTGTTTCCATAATCTAAAATCATGACATGGCAATGATGCTTGAAATGCTATAACATTCTCTGTATTTGTATATTAAACATTATCTTTTTCTCATTTTTTGATAGTCTCATCATGCCCAATGTCCCAAGTTCTTGATTGTTTGCAAGTTCTGTGGAAAGCAGAATATTCCAAGAGAAAAGGTAATAAGTATACAGTCTTTAATTTATGAACAATGTCTTCTTTTTTTTATTATACATCTGTCACCGTATCGCCATAATTTTGCGGTATTGCACTGGGTATTTGCATCCTACCATATAAGGAAATGCAAATTTCAAATATAGAATGATTACGCACGTAAGCGTCCTCTAATAATAAAAACAAACATGGCTGCCACTAGGGTTTGTCTGGGCTCCACACAAAGAAATTCACTGATTCTGTTCTAAACTTTTTGGATTTCGACATTCCCATTGGGAGGAAAAGATGTATAATAATAGGGTTATTATGAGGATACCTCAAAGTATGCACTCAGACAGTACTCCATCGCATCAACCTCTGCTGCACGACAGTCGATACTCCTACTGTACTGTCATCGTGCATACTATGAGGTATCCTGGTAATAACCTCATATTATTTTATGGAAATTTCATAATTCTATCATAAATAGAATGTATTTAAAACAGTGGTCAAAATTAATAACCTACATTGTTGTGATGACTAAATTCCCATATTTGCTTGTATACTGTAAAAGAATTAATTATTCACTGGGTTTTAATTTTGCTTATTTCGCTGACTGGAAAATGCGCTAAATTAAAACCTAGTGAATATGTAAAATTCAGCATAGAACACATTATCTAAATGATAAAACTATGAATTTAAAACCCACTGAATATGCCTGAAATGGTAAATCAGCGAAATTTAAGCCCATTGAAAATTCGTCATTTTACAGTATTAAATAATTAATAAATCAAAGTATGAAATAATTTTAGAACATCTTTAGATGCTTACCAGTCATCTACATTTTACTGGACGTCAAAACATTGATAACTGAAAATGTCATGACCATGTAAATAATGAAGGCAGCAACTCCATTATTCATCTGTCAATATGCAAATTAGTGTATTAATTTGTTCTAATTCTGACATCAATCAAATGAGTACTACCCAGTGAGCACCCATCATATTCTTTCATTTTTTCCCCTGTGATTATAGATAAGTTGTATGAATTATATAAACATAACAGTCACAGAATTTTTTGTTAAATTTATTCATTCTGAAGACTACCTGAATGTAAAAAATAAAAAAATTTGGTGAAAACAGAGGAAAAAAAATAAGCAAAATCGATGTGACTGTTATGGTTCTTGCGTTTTATTCTACATTTTTCCAACAAAAAAAAATGTGGTATTTAATTTAATTTTTCTAAAGTACTCATTTGAAGACTCGGCTACCTGAATGTGAAAAATAAATTTTTTGGTGAAAACAGACATTTAATAAGAGAAAAAAAATAAGCAAAATCCATGGTTCTTGCATTTTATTCTACAAAAAAAAGTGTAGTATTCAATTTCATTTTTCCAAAGTACTCATTTGAATCTTTGGTAAAGGATTTATTTACCTAGCAGTCATGTGACCACATGGTTTTTTCTTCCAACATATAACATCAATTTTTTATTAGTGTGAATTATGAGCTTTCATTTTACAATTGTAATCCTCACACACCAATACTTTTTTTTTTTTTAAGTCTTCAATTTCCTCAGTGTGATTGAGTTCTTGCTGAGCTTTCTCTGTTTCTGTCTTGCAGATTCTGGAACACACTGACCCTGAAAGAGGTGACTGTGAAAGAAAGGTTGGTCCTTGTTTGTACCAGAAAGTTGGTTGCGAGGAACTGGTAAGGGTGCTCTCTGAATTTTTTTTTTGCATGTTAGGAAATTTGATACCATGCTTTTCTCACTTGGTGCCCATGGTGCTTGTTGCAAGGAAGAAGTTGTGTTTCGGGGGGGGGGGGGGGGGGCTTGGCCTTCTTCAGGGTTATCCAGGAGACAGTTTTTTGGTTGGGCTGTATGCCAGAATTTAGGGAGTGTTGTATCTATTTTGGAAAGGTAGAGTTGCACAGTTGGGTGCATTATTGATTTCAACAGCACTTTTACAAGATGGTGGTCGGAGGTGATGACAAAGAATAATAAATACTTGGATTAATATTTCAATAAATCATTGAATATTTTGATTGATATAAATGATGATAAAAACTTGCAGTTCTGTGAAAGAAAGGTTGGTCCTTGTTTGTATGTATAGAACTTGCTCCACCACTTTACAAAGTGTTGTCTGTATTTATAATACCAGTACATTCACAGTTGACTCTTCAACGTATATACATGGTGTGTATCGGTAACAAAAAATATTATTACCGTGATGTATCTCCTTCTAGATTATTTTTAGTAAACACATTTTTCATAAATCTATAATGAAACTACCAGTAACGTATGTTAGTAACAGAAAGCTTGTATAAAGGTTAGAACAAGCTTTGTTGAAGATTTTCTTTCTACAACAGACAATGGTAATTATCTATTATCATGAAGGTTTACATATTATGCCCACTCTGTACTTTTCAGGTGGAAGTTGAGAAAATGCCCCAGCATTTGGAAACAACTGTTGTAAAGCATCTTGATTTGATTCGTGATAAAGTATCCAATGTGAGTGATGAATTTGCAACACTGAAGGTGAATCTTGATGTACCAGCACTATCCCAGAATGTGAAAAGTAACGCCGACCGAATCGTGATAGTAGAACGTGCTGTTCAGAAGGTGGAACAAGACTTGGTTGATGTGACCACTAGGCAGCAAGGTCAACAACCTACAAGGGGTGTACAAGCTATCATCGATAAGCAGTCTCGCTCAATTGAAGAATTGAAGGCCAAGACCATTGTACTTGACACTAAGGTATCTACGTATGAAGGGATTGTTGCCGTACTCAACGGTCAGATTGAGAGAGATGCTAATGTTGTGCAGGCCATGGAGAGAGAGCGGAAACAAGACCGAGATCTGGTGGAATCTTTAGAGAGAAAGATCAAATCTCAAGATCGCATCATCGCACTGAAGGATGTCGCCTTAGCTGAGCAAGATCTAAGAATTCAGTCTCTGGAGATGGCATCTTACGATGGTGTACTGGTTTGGAAAATCTCTGACTTCAATCGTAAAAGAAATGATGCCTTATCTGGTCGCACTACATCCATCTACTCACCGTGCTTCTTCACCAGTCGTCATGGTTACAAGATGTGTGCCCGAGTATATCTGAATGGAGATGGAATGGGCAAGGGAAACCATGTCTCCCTGTTCTTTGTCATCATGAGAGGCACATTTGATGGGTTGCTGAGATGGCCATTCAGACAAAAGGTAAATAGTTATTTTTCTTTTTAATATATTTTAACTCTGGGTGGGCGTGTTTCTTGGAAAATTTTCTTTTGACCCAACTAAATAATTTTAATACATTTGGAAAATCTGTGAAGATTAAGCCAGTAAATTTTTTCTAGTTCACTGTTCTAAAGTGTTTTAAGATTCCTAAAACTGGGTTATAAATTGTATATATAAACATGTACTGCGGGGATTGTGGGTAAAGCAAAAAACAGCAATTCCCCAAAGTTATCCTGTTAATGTCGCATGAGATAATGAGGTGTAATCAGCACCATGGAACTATTAAGTGAGAATAAAAAAATGGAGTCCTATAGTCAAGTTTTAGGTGTTATCAATGTTAACTTTATAGTAAAAATGCCTCTGAAGAACCATCAAAACAAACTTATTACTTACAATAAGGTGAAGCCTAATTGTCCTGTTGATTTGCTGAGTGTGCACTTTTTGGGGAGACAGTACAACATTTAAGGGAGGAGAAAGCTATGGTATGTCACCGAGGGTCACCTCCTGTTTTGGCTCACCACACAGATTAAACGTTCGTGATTCAAATGATTTTATGAAGTAACTCCTATAAAAAAAAAGGATTTTACCGCTGAAAAAATAATAACAGTGATTCGTACATCTTAAAAACAAAGGAGAATTCCAACTGCCCATAATTTTTAGCCACTCGCATGTACAGCAGAATATCTGTAGGTTGATTTGATCAAGGTCTTCAGGCAATGAATTGCCACCTGTATCTGTGCTCTACTTTTGAGTCGGTGTTTCTAATCTTGTGAACTACTACTTCACTTGGGAGCTGTCTGAGCTCATAATGAGATGCATGGGCAGGTTATTTGTTAACTCGCCTGTTCTAGGTTATTGGTTGCATGGCCACAGGTTACTAGGGTGGCTGCCACAGGTTACTAGGGTGGCTGCCACAGGTTACTGGGGTGGCTGCCACACATGACAGACTCCTGCAATTGGAATGCTATTAATCTATCATCACAGGCTGCAGTGACAAACTCCTATAAGTAGCAATTCACACTTGTGGACTCTGATATCTTAACACACCAGAAGTCATTATGATATACTAATTCTCTAAACACACTGACACCTGTAGAGTTTTTTTATGACTAATTTGGATTTTTACTCACCAAAATGTCAACTGAAAACAACTTTCAGAATGTCTGGGAACTTTTAGGTAAGAATGAATTGATTTTTGTCTGTCCTCATTCCAGTAGTGTTCTGACAACAACCAATGAGTTTTTTTTAACAGGGTTTAATTCACCTGGATTCTAAGCACAACCAAAAAGAAAGAAAACACAACTTTGTTGTTACACAGGACACTGTAAAATATACTAATTATACCCAATGCGCACAAAAATTGATTTCAAGTCGAAGGCTTCTATCCAACAAAAGTTTGTGAAAATAAACACTAATGTAAAACTGCTTTTCTTCAGGTTGTATACGAGACAAAATTTCTTGGTGCAAAACATCTTGTTTTAATTTTAATAATCCAAAATTTTGGTATATGAATGTTATTCGCATGATTTTTGATTATTACTTTTTTGGGTTATTTTGATGGTAAATATAGTATATAGTATATTTGCCCATCACGCGATGTAATTAGTATCATTGTTTGACTTAGATTGAGTATGGTCATATTACCTGAATTGAACACTCCATGTAACAGGGTATCACTACCAGTGCATACATCAATGCTCTGACCCTTCAGTTTGAAAGGGTCATTTTAATTTGTCAACGCAAGTAGTAGCTGGATGCCTTATCTTTAATATTGGGCCAACAAACTTGTCAATGATGTTTTCATTGCTACATAATTTAATAACAGTTTGATTGCCCTTTTTAGTCCTTGTTGGTCCAAATCTGAAATGGAGACTTATGTTTTGAGGTCCGTTTGTGTGTGCATCCGTTCATCATGATGGGACACGCATGCAAGTTGATTTGCTTATTTCTTTTGGTTGACCTTTGACTGATTGGCCTAAAAAACACCAAAAATCAATATTTGAAAATGTCATTAACAGTTTCTCAGGCATGCCTTGACTGATTTTATTCAACCTTTGGGTTAAAATCTGTGCATTTTTATGACCTAAGTTGCATAATAATTAATCAATATTCAGCTTTGTAATTCCACTGATATCTTCTATCAAGTGCTAATCATTGCATTTCAATGAATGAATGCTTAATGTGGAGCATTATGCATGATTTATTGACACGATTAATTTGCATTTCTTGTCCCTCCATGAATTTGCATATTCTTGAGATAGTTCAGTTTCCCGCTATATTTGGGTGAGCTAGTCGAACTTTACAACTTGTATTTTTCAACTTTATGATATTTTATCGATATTCTACTTTACCATGAATACTCCACGAAGAGGCAGCTAGGAAGCGTCATTAGTCATCGTTACACAACCAACCTCCCCAACAACAAGGAGTAAAAGCGGACGCCTTTCTACCGCTACACGGCAGGTCAGGACGCTTTTATTTGCACAACTACCTGATTCATGTAGCACTACTAGTATAGGAGTTTCTACTTCAGGTCGGCGATCTACTTCACAGCAGAGAACAACAAGTAGTTTAGACCCATCTAACTCTACAAACTGGACAGCGGCATCGGTCTACCGCCATATACAAGCCAACGAGAAGCGACAAATATTTATAAATTCAACATCAAAGAACATTCAGTAAATTCCGAAGTCGTGGACTTGAAAGATGAAAACGTGGAAGATGAAAACCCGAACCCAACTGCTAGTCAGCGACATGAGAACGACAGACGCGGTCAGTGCAGATATGAATAGTGATATCCGTCAGGATGTTAGAGAGTTATGTTATCCGCCGGCGAGTGGTAGGCAGAATCAAAACAACATGGCGGCCATGCGTGGAAGTTTTGATATAGCTCAGCAAAATCGTCCAAATTTTGCGACCACCACTGAGTGAAACTACCCATCAACTGCTGGAAGATTTGGCATTTTATCTAACGCCTTGCCGGATCTTGTAGATGTATCTGAGACCATGAAAGCAAATATCTTACAAGGTAAATACGTTAATCTTGCAGCATTATTAATTCCTGATCAGGAAGCAGATGATCGTTCTATCATGGATTTATCGGGCAATGAAATTAAGATCAAAGGGAGTGCCGATCCTCGATTGAACAAAACCTTAACTTTTCATGAATTCTTGGTAGCTTTCGAGAAATACAAGGCAGTTATTTGCGGCGTCTTTCCAGAACGACACGAGGAGCTAGATTTGTACCAGAAAAACATTACAGACCTGGCACTAAATTTTGGTAATGTTTTTTACGACTATCATGTTCAGTTCGCTACTAGAGCTGGAGCTTACTTACAACAGGAAGGCATTAAAATTGATTGGTCTGTTCGCGGTTCTGCCATTTTTATGTGAATCACAGCTGGGCGAAAATCGTATTCGTGTGCTATTTGTGGCAGCACAACGCATATGGTGGATTTCTGCCCACGCAAGCAGTACAGTCAGTCGCGTAATGATGCGAGAGGACAACCCAGGATTTACTTGAATGGAAAGGAGATTTGCAATAACTTCAATTTTGTGAAGGGTTGCTCAAGAAATGTATGCCCATTTGTACATGCCTGTTTTTACTGCAAAAACAACCACCCAGCTTGCAAGTGTTCTAAATCTGGTCCGACTAGCAATATTGCCAATTTAAAGTGACTGCCAGCAACAGCGACGACACTCATTAATGTAGACAAATTAAAGCGTTTTTAACAGATCATCCAAACCGGGATTTTGTTACAAATTTGTGCAGTGAACTTAGAGATGGTTTTCTGACAGGCATTGACAATGCACCAAATTATTCACATGAATGTAATAACAAATTAACGGCCAGGAAAAATCCAGAGACTGTGCGCTTAAATTTGCTTCTACGTTCTATCAAAAGGAATTCAGGACAACGTACTGAACTTCGCCTCCCATTTACAACGGAACTTGTTGCCAAAATGTTTTCAGCACTAAATGGAACAGTTTTCTCCCCTTACACTGACTGATTTAATATTTGTAAGGAAAGGTTTGATAGCAACGTCCATCTTTGCATTGAGGATGTCAGTTTTGTGGGTGATGATAGTGCTTTTATTGTGCTCAAATCCTCAAAGACGGACCAGTGTCAGCGAGATTTGGTTATTAATTACTTTTCTAACAATCGTATGCGCCCAGTGGCTGCCATGAGAAAATATTTGGCCACAAGATTGAAAATCTTGCCTCCAAACCAGAGCACCCCTTATTTATTTCTGAAAACAACCTGCCTTTGACTCGACCTGTGTTCCTCAGTTACTTGCATCAGCTTCTGAATCGACTCGGTTTAGACTCGTCAGAATTCAGGACCACTTAATAAAGGCACTCGGCTGGTGGTCATCCGATAGTTATGTGCGATACATTCATACTTGTACTTCAGATGTAACTTTGGGATTTACACTTACTGCCCTTGGCTAACAACTCATAGAGTAAATAAACAGGGTGTGGAAAGTTGATGTAGGGGATGCACTTAATTTGTAGTGCAGTAGGCCATGAATTTGTACTAGTAATTGTACTTTATATTCTATATTTTTTATATTATTTAAAAAAATGTTAATCTTGGGGATTTTCTGCGATATTTTATATCGCATCATTTGGGGACTTCGCAATTACTTGTGCTCATTTATTCCCTAAGATAATCACCATAAGGTGCTTTTACAAAGTGTATTTACAATTTTTTTTAAAGTGTTTTTATTACTAACATTTCAGTAACCATTCATGCGTAGTTGTGGTCCTCACCACCTCTACCACCTGCCAGGTACAGCCACGCTGTCGTTATTTCTGTAGTTGCAGTTCCCACTGCCTCTACCTACCTAACCTTGTCATCAGGCAGCTGCGGTTCTCATCGCTCTACCAATAACCATTCATGTAGTTGCAGCTCTCACTGTCCTACTACCACCTCATCTTCTACCACTAACCACTAACCAGATACAGTTCTCACTGCAGTAACCCTTGCAATATTTTGTAACTGTGTTTTAGGACTTGTAGTTTTTAATCTTGTTATTTGCTGTAAGTTTTCAACTTCTGCTTAGGGGGTCCACTGTGGTGCTTTCCATGTATACCGGTTTGCTTGCTACTGTTTTCTGGCTTGTAGCCCAAAGTTGCTAACAGTGGACCCTCCGATTTCCCAAAATAAAATTGTTCCTATTTTACTTTACAACTTCAAGTGTTGTGTCATAAATCTTAGTACATAGATGTAAAAAGACAATCTGAAGAAACCAAAGACAATATCTTTATTTTTAATGAATATTGTAATTTGTAATTTTTGGTCAAAATTGTTATTTTTGACTTCTTCTTGGAAACTTCCACTTTGAATGGTTTGTTCATTTCATGACGATATCTTCAAATCTAATTTTAATGAATGTTTTTGTCATTTTTGTTAAGTAAGTTATATTTGAGACTTCTTCTTGAAAATGGCTATCCCAATTGCTTTTATATGTAGATTTATGTAAATATGTAAATTTTATAGTCAATATTACTGTCAATTTTGGTAAAAAAACTATTTTTGACATTTTATTGAAAACAGTTTGTCTAATTTTCTTGATATTTGATATGTACAAATGTAGGTCCTTTGGGTTGACCTCTCAGATTTGTTGATTTCCATGATTCTTATTTTAGTGAATATTAATTGGTAATTTCTTTTTTTAAAACCACCTACCTTCTTTTTTTATATCTAGGTAACATTCATGCTTTTGGATCAAAACAACCGAGAACATGTCATTGATGCATTTCGTCCGGACCCTACATCAAATTCCTTCAAGCGTCCTACTGGCGATATGAATATTGCCAGCGGCTGCCCTTTATTCATGCCTCTGTCTCAACTGGAGAGCAGTCGTCATGCTTACGTAAAAGACGACTCTATGTTTATCAAGGTGATCGTAGACACTACAGATTTAAATTAAGTTGTTCGTATCCATATGGCTCTTTTTTGGGGATTCATTATGCTGGATTGTGTACTTGTTCCTTTGTAATCATGTTCATTAAAGCAAGGCACATTTATATAAGCACGTCTAATCCTGCAAGAGATAATTACACTGCCAGCCTTTATTGGCAAAGGGTTTGCTGCAATAGCACCAACTTTCATGTATTTTTGAATCCTGTGTGTTAAGCACACAACAGGAGTCTTTGCAGTTAGTGCGTGTGGGTGGGTGTGTGCACGTACACGTACACATACATGCATGTGTGTGTGCGTGTATGCATACATACATACAGACAATGGACAATGGAATGGAAAATTATGAACAGTATACATATGTATTTTGGACCCATATGTAATGTGCATGATGCAAGATCAGATCTATTTGATGAAAAATTGATTTTTTTTAAAGGGTCTTTGAAAGCAGGTTCCGCAAAATCGCTCCCAAGACCGGCCATACGGAAAAAATACTTTTAAATACTTATTGATAATGTTATTTTGCCTTTTTATCAACTGCATTTTGTGCAGAACGCTACTAAAATAATGTTGTATTTTAATGTATGTGGTATTTCATGTCACAAAAATGAAGAAAGTGAATAAAAATGATCAGCCTGAGGGTCACTGTACTCGGCAAAAAATAATATGTATCTCAAAATGTTGTTCAGTAACATTGGATGGGTGAAAAATACATGAATTGTAAAATTATTGAATTATTAAAACAAATATGATTCAATTTTAAATTAGTGATTTTTCAGTATGAAAATTTGCATTTTGAGAATATTATTGCATTTGTGAAGAAAGAATTTCTTGACAGTGATTAGCAGCATGTATACAATGGAAAAATCTTTCCCATAATGCATTGCATATTTGTGCATGCTCCCTAGTGCAATATTTGAATTCAGCTTGAAATGCCATAACCTTTTCACCACCAGACTTTCACCTTCAAATTTGTCTGCACTTTTTACTTATACGCTTCAATATTTCTGGAAACAAATCCTAATTTTGGGGCCAACAGACAAAAATTTGAGTAAATTTTCAGTTTTTACTCAAACAATTTTTGCCCTAATCTTCTGTATGGAAATGCAGTCTACAAATGGGACTATTTTGTGAACTTGGGATGAAAAGAGGGAACTGGTGGTAAAAAGGTTAAATGTGTTTTCCAGTATTTTTTCGTAGCAAATCGCTTTCACCATGTGGAGATGCACTGACTAAGCTATATTTTTTTTCCATAACTAAGATTTAAAAAGCATTTCATAATAAATTGTTAATATTTTTATTAAAATGGCCTAATATGTAATTATACAATTATTAATTTTAGTGATTGTTTGCAGGCTGATATTTTATTAACATAATATATTTCACAAAATTGCTCTTCAAAGATTAAGCTTAATGCAAAATTGTCACTCGTATGACATTTGACTAAAAAGACTAAATGTTTCTGTTAATTGGCTTGACAATCAGAATTTTGAATTAGTTTACTCAATTTTAATAAATAAGCACCAACTCTAATGTATGGCATGAAGACCACCATCCCTTCGTGCATGGATCAGTTGCACAACCTTACAAATGACTCGTACCCAATTCTGCATACCTGCCTTGTGACATGATTATTAACAAGTACACACACTTTTTTTAACCTTTTCGCTTTACTACTCTATATCTGCTCATTTGTAACAAAATTATTATTTTAAAGTATATCGAAAATATGTCAATGTGGATTTAAAATTGATTTTGTGATTAACAATAACATAGTCTGTTCAATTTTGAGTGAAAAGATTGAATGTGATATGTGTTAGTTAGGTAATTAATTAAGTATTTTTTTGTTTTCATATCAGTCTAATTTTATGCTCTGATTTAGTTTATTTTCAGATTCAATTTACTGTATCCATGATTTTATGTAAAATTGACAGAACTATTAACCATAATCATACTAAATCCTTAATCGTTTCACCAGCAGACTTTTTTTCGCACAAATTTTGCTGCAATTATTTCTGAAAATTAATCCTAATTTTGGAGCCAATTAACAAACAAAATTTGAGTCAATTTTCAGTTCAATTTTTGTCCAAATACTATAAACTGAACTATTTTGTGTATTTATGATGAAAACAGGGACTGGTGGTGAAAAGGTTAAAAACTCTATAGGACTGGTAATATTTGAGTGAACAATAAGATGTATTTCACCACTAATGATTCAAATGCATACAATAATGGTTTTGTTAACAAACGTAACCAAGTGTGCCCATAAGGGTGACTGTTTGGTGTCTATTACATGACCATGATTTTATTCAACATTTTGTAGCACATTTAAGTTGTCTTATACGATTGATCAGAAAAAACCTTGTGTGTATGACATATTGAACTTTGCATATGTCATGTATATTATGAGATCGAAGCAGACAGATAAGAAAAAAACAAAAAAGAATGATACAAGAAAAAAAAAACTTGTTATAAAAAAAAAAAAAAAAAAAATTCAAAAAAGTCTAATCTTGTCTAAGTAGATTTGCAAATGTTTGTAATTTTCTTTATCTTCATATATAATTAATATTCAGTAATTATATGTAATATAGATTTTAGTCTTCAAAGTTTATACCTGTAACAGTTATTAGTATTATTTGTATTTGTATTATTTAAATGTATTTGTGTGAGCTAATTGTTACGCATGTTCAGTATTGAATCCCAAATTAGAGCCATCTGGATGCAAATTGAACTCGATCACTATGGGTTACCATTAAAGCTTTTACTCTGCTGTTATTTTGTGAAGCTGTATTGAATGGATTATTCTAGAGCACACTTCGATGAGGGTGTATCTGCACACATGTGTAAGACTTCTGCAATAATTTGGTTTTAATGTATAACTTTACTGTAAAGTAAGTTACAGTTGTCAGACACCTAAAAAAAGAAAATTTAGGTAATTTAGAAATTCAGGATAATTTTTTACTGTGTCGCTGGAAGTACTAGTTCTGATATGTATATATACGGTACTTCAATTCTAATTGAGGTGGAAATATTGGCGATCGGCTCCGCTGGGATTGGCCTTAAAATCACTTGTGTGTGTTCACGCATTAATTCTTCTGTGATTTGTTTTGCTGATTTCACTCAAAACTTGGCAGGCAGGTCACACCTTCACTCCAGTCAGTAATGTAAAATCTGAAAAAAATTCTGGCCTACTGTTGCCATAGCAACAGCCACAAAAAACTAATTTTTTAATAGCTTTGTGCCAAATGTATCTCCTACTAATTTAGGATTAAACACCTCGGACATAGCTCATTCTACTCAGCTTGAGTGTGGACACATAGTTACTATTTGTTTTTTGATATCTTATTTCATTACTGAGAAATCTGATCTCAAAGTTGAGGTAACTTTTCACCAGTAACAGCTTTTTAACTCTTCTGTGATTTTTTGGGCTTGGCTGATTTTGTACATACTTGGCAGGCAGGTTATACCGTCACTAATCAGAAAAAATCTGGTCCACCGCTGCTATGGCAATAGCCAAAAAACTGTGTTTTTTTTGCCCCAAATGTATTATGTCCAACCAGTCTTTGTAATAGGGGTGGACAAATGCTTTTTATTTTGACTAAGTTGCGCACCCACAAGAGATCACCGGCGTCACATTGTTACACTGTATCAACGTAATCCCAATGCAACTTTCAATGAATTGTAAATGCTGTGTTCAATCAAAGAATCTAGAAAATACAAACCGCCAGAAATAATAATTATAAAAGCAGAATACGTGCTAGTAATAAAAGTGAAGTGACTTCTGAAGACTGAATGCTTTTTGCAAACTTACAGGTCCCAGTTTTAGTTATTAATCAATGTTGCTTCTTGTTCATGTCCTACCACGACAACAGCTAAAAAACATGTTTGTTTTTTGAGCGGTGGGGATCTCCAACCAGCCTATCGACTTGTTTTAGTTAATGTGTGTGCATGTACACCTTTATCAGAGATGTACTTTACTAACTTCAAGATGGCACTAATTCCCCAACATAACACGAAATAGAAGAAGTATCAGATACATTAAATTGTTAGTATATTTCTTCAACTTCGAAAAAAGGTTGTAGGAACATTACATCTGAAATATTTGTATTGCAATATAAATGAGTGAATAAAATGCTTCTCAGAAAATGCCTCTTGATTTCACATTTTAGAGGTATTGTGTGTTTATGTACTCCATGTCCTAAACCATGTGTCAAGAACTGATCGTTTTCAGAAAGAATTGGTCACTTTTACAACTAACAGTATGGTAAATCTGTAGTCCAAATCAGATAAGAATTATTATTTGTAAATTTAATACAAAAAGGTGTGTTTTTATACGATAAGATTTATGTACAATTGTTCCTACCAAGTATACAACCGTGTTTTGACATGCATCTTGCTTTGGGATAATATCTGAAGCACCCTCTACTGTCAGGAAGTGGCGAGGTGTCTCCTCGATATCGATCCAGTGATGAATTAATTGGTTTCATTAATGCCTAATTAGGTGAAGTAAAACAGCAACATTAAGACAATGTGTGAATGCTGTACAGCCGTATTTCACTTGTGCCTGCTTGTGTTCACTAACATCGTTGCAGAAAGCTACATTGAACAATACTGCTTATCTTGATAAATTATCCGAACCTAAAGATGGCTGACACATCGAAATCATCAGATGGCAAGAGGAATGTTATTTTCACTACTGTATAAAAAATGAAGAACTGATCCAATATCACCTCAGAAGGTCTAGCCAAAGGAATTCCGCAAGTGCTTTTAACTTTTTTGCTCCACTGTCGACTTAGTTGAGCGGAGCTTATCATATGAGTGATTGTCCGTCGTCGTTTGTGTCAACTTTTTATGTTTTCGACTTCTTCTTGAAAACTACAAGCCTGAATGCTTTGATACTTGGTGTGTATGTACCTTGGGTACCTCTCTCAGATTTGTTCATTTCATGATGATATCTTCAATTCTCTAATTTTGGTGAATATTTTTGTCATTTTTGGTAAAAAGTGATATTTTTGACTTCTTGTTAAAAACCACAAGTCTGATTGCTTTGATATTATATATATAGGTACTATAGATGGTCTTCTCTCCTGATTTGCTTATTTC